CATTACAAGATTAGAAATAGGTTTAGAGTATTTGCACTTTAGTCCCTGAACTTTCACTTTCTTCGAGTTTGGTCCTTTTTCGCTTGGTTCACCTCAATTTCGCTACATTCATCACTTTGTTCTGCAAAACATAAATTGCATAGAGTTAAGCTATATTCCAACATTTTAATCAACGATTGCTCATGTTTTGACAATAAAATAAGTATGTAAAAACACACTTATCACCAATATTACTATTCACCTTGAGGCGGCGCTTTCATTAGGGATGTTAAAGAGTCAAGCCGAAATGTGAGGCTCGGGTTTTTTTTTCCCGAACCAAATTTTTGCTCGAACAAAAAATTTAGGCTCAACCCAAGCTTTCGAATCGAACTTTGTTGAGCCGAGTTGGGCCACAAAAATCTTTTTTTTAAAAAAAAAAAAATATCATGTGCCTATTAGCAGGTCTGCCTGCAAAGGCAGCTTGTAGTTGCCTGTAACTGGGTTTTAAATTTTATTTTTTTAGTTCCAACTGATCACAGATCGAAAGTAGCCCTTGAAACGCGACGAGCCACACTGGTTGGCCCAACCTTGGGGAGCCGTGAGTTGGGCCTGTTCGGGCTTTTTCAGACCGCTCTAGTCGGTGAGCGAAATTGCAATCCCTGCATTTCACACTAAATGGGTTCCATACCATGGAAAAAACTAGTTATACAATGTTGGGTTACAACATTTGTTTCCAACATGACGTAGATGGTGGAGATTAAATGGGCATGGACGATTGAGATGAAAAGAAGAAAATGAAGAGAACCCCATTATGTCTGGGCTCGAATTAAAACCATTTGTGTACTCCATTTTCCCTCCCCCAAAATAAAATCCAACTAATCTCAGCTCCACTATTGTTAACGTCGTCGACAATTATCCATCCTGGTCTCGTTGGTACAACCACGACTTCGGCACTAGCGTAATTCCATTGGAGGCATAATTTCTCATCCAATCCCTTCGACATCACCAGCGAGTCTCCATCCCGACATCGGTTGTACAACTCGGACGTGGGCATTTTCCGAAACTAGAGACAAAGCCATTAGTGCTCGAGTGTAACATTGGAAGGTATAAACGTATTTGTTCAGTAATTATTAATTTTTAAGTTTCATGCTCTTCTTTAGGCAGAAGTTGTGCAATAAACGTCAAAACCAAAGATGCATAAATATTGAAAAGAATGATTTTACAAAATTTGTTCTGGTTTCAGCCCTTTTGGTAAGAAAAAAATCTATTACAACTCTTCTTCTGTTCAATGTAGACCAAGAAATCTTATCACACACACGAAGTACTTCTATATAAATTTCATCACAAACCTACAATATTAATTAATTCAGACAAAGAATAATCAAAAGTTGAACAAGCAAAGAGAAGGAAAAAGTGGGTTTGTTTGAAAGTTTCCAAACAATGAACAAAAGAAAAGATCATCAAACTTTGATTTGGAAATGGAGTGGTGGGCTCAGCTCGGTCCATCTACCCACGAGCTCGGGTTGTCAAAGTGACGAGCCGAACTCAAACTCGTTTGAGCATGAGCCAAGCCCATGAGCTCGTTTTTTTTTTTTTTTAATTTTTTTTTACTTTTTTCTTCAGATTTTTTACGAGCCCACGAGCCGTTCGTGAGCTCGACGAGCCGAGCAAGCACAGCTTGTCGAGCGAACTTTGACAGTAGATTTACAGTATAAGTGAAATCAGGTCCGGTGGCTGTTAAATACAATAAACAACCAGACAAACTTCTGTAAATCTTTGCATCAACCTGATTGACTCCATCTTCTATCAACAACTTTTCATTTTGAACTAATGGAGTACTAACAAGTTTGCAATTTTC